AGGGGGGGAAAGGGGGGAAAATGGGGGACATCTGTAATACTATCAGCAATAAAACTATACATATTAAAAAAAACTAATATTATGCCTACTTTACAGATGGGAAATAGGCCCAGGGAAGTTAAGTCACCACCTACTGTCCACACCAGAGTCAGGAGCAAAAACAAGATTCTATCCTGAGTTTTAAGTCTTGTATGAGGCGGAGGCCAACCACAGCAAAGAGCAGGAGCAGGTAAGGGAAGAAAGTGCAGTTATTAGTTTTTACTCCAGAGAAAAAGAAGAAGCTCCCAGGAGAGCTGGGTTCCTTCATTGATTTCACAAACTTCTATCGAGCACCTACTGTATGCCAGGTATTTCAGGCCCTGGGTACCCCACAGAGAACAAGGTGGAGAAAATTCCCTGGACACATGGAACTCACACACATGGGTGACCGATTCCACTTGTCACTATTTGGTCTAGCACCTAGCACACGGGAATGTTGCTGCAGGAGGAGAGAGACCCAAGGCTTTATGCAGGACATGGGGGGCCCCATGGTGATGGAGGCACACATGGTCACTGCCCACCTGGAACTTACCGTCTGGTGGAAGCTAGCAAACCATGTTTGCAAACAATAAACAATTTACCCATTCTTTCCTTCAGTATTTATTGAGCACCTATTGTGTACTCAGCTGGATTCTAGATGTAGCAGTGATCAAGACAGACACAGATATGCTATATTATAGAGGGTGGGATAAATGAGTAAAGAGATAAATAAAAAGGATTATGTTGGTCTGTGAAAGGGCTGAGAGGGCAAGAATCCAACAGGGTGAGGACTGGGGTAGGGGTGGTGTTAGGAAGACCTGTCTGATCTCCTCCCCTGGACAACATTTTTCTTGTTTCTCTGGTTGTAGGTTCTTTGTTCAAGTGGAGCTTTTGTCTATTTGTGGGGGAACCTGGCTCAGGTGGGGATGGAAGCCCCCAAGATGAGAGTTTCAAGGAACTAATCTTTCCACCCTCCCAATCAACTAATAAATGGAGTCTTTGACCCCCCTCTTACTCCTTATCTTAAGACAGGAGAGTACATGTCAAGGTGCACCTTGGAAGGTGTGTGATGGGATCTGGGCAGGGCCAAGTGGGGAAAGGAGGTGGGGGGGTCCAGCTAGGTCAGAGCTGGAAGAGGTGCCATTGTCAGGGAACTGTGGGTAATGGCACCTCAGTTTCCTTGTCTGTAAAATGGGTTTCCAGTACCAGGAACACTTCAGGCATTTATGCTTTTTCCATCATTCAGAAGCCATTGATTGAGCACCTCCTGGGTGTCTGGGCCTCTTTCTAGGTCTCTTTCTGTAAGAGGCCAGATAGTAAATATTTTAGGACTGTAGCAACTACTCAAGTTTGCTGTTGCAGGGTGAAAGCAGCCTGGAGCTCTATATGTAAATGAAGGGGCGTGGCTGCATCCCAAGAATTTCAACAGGGTAAAAGGGTTGGTTTAAGCGGCTTAAAGCAGTGCTTGGTATACAGTAGGCACTCCATAATGTTTTTGCCCTGCTTGGTATATAGCAGGCATTACATTAATGCTCAGTTCATGCCTAGTTAGATAGCAGGTGCTGCACTCATGTCTGGCCCATACCTGGTATATATATAGCAGGTGCTACATCAATGCCTGGTGTGCCTGGTATATGGCACGTACTGCATTAGTGCTTGGTCCATGCTTGCTATACAGTAGGCACTCCATTGTGCATACGTGGCATAGAGCAGGAACTGTATTAATGGGGAGCCACCCCCCACACCCCGGGCCCAGTATACAGGAGGCGTTCCATTAGTGCTTGTTCTAAGAATGGATGAGTGGAAGGTTCTTTCCGGGTAGGCAATGTCAGGGGATTCCCGGGAGACCAGGAACGTTGGGACCCCAATGTTTCGCGTGGGGCTGGGGTCTCCCGGCCCCGGGACTGCATCTGCGGGGTCTTTGCCTCCCGCTCTCCCAGGAGCGGGGTCGACCCGCCAAGCTGAGCGGAGCGCACCCCAGCGCGCCTGTCGAGTCCGCCACATTCCCACAATCCCGGGCGGCCCCGCCTGGCTCCGGGCTGAGCGTCCCCCTTCCCACGTTGGCGCAACCAAACCCGCGGGCGCGTCCGCGTCCGCCTCGCCCCGCCCCACTCCGCCCACCC